GTGTATAAGAGACAGAACACACACACACACACACACACACACACACACACACACACACACACACACAATCAATCAATCAAATTGATTGATTGATTGATTGATTGATTGCGATTGGTTCGTTGATTGATTGATTGATTGATTGTGTGTGCGTGTGTGTTTGTGTGGGCCAGTGTTTTTGCACGGGCCCAACAAAGTGAAAAAAAAAAAAAAAAATCATCAGCGGTTTTATTTATTTTTTCCGATTTTCTTTATTTTTTTCCCCCTTCCTTAAAATGTTACAATTTTTATTTTAAATCACAAGCATGTAGAGTTTTTTTTAATCTACACGCCCATTTTTTTTTATTTTTATTTTTTTGCATTTTTAGGCCCCGAAAAAAATCTTGGGGCTTCATGCCCTCACTCGGCCGTGGGTGGTCGGCCGCCGCAGGTGGGATCCCGACCGCGTGCGGTAAAATGGCCATAGGACGGCCGTAGACTATTTGGTGGACCCTACCCTTTATGGATGGAAGGACAAGGGTGGTAAGATTTTCACTCTTATTCAATATTCTTCTAAGGTGGGATCCTCCCACTTAAGGACGAAGAAATTCCAACCTCAGGACGTGGCAGTACGTCGATTTAAAAAAGCCTATGGAGAGGGGATACCCCCACCAGATTTCAGAAGCCTGTGGAAGGCACTCAAGGGTATTCCGTCCCAAAAACAGGCAAGTATGATGTGGGTCCAGTCTGTGGGTCTCACGGTGTCTGCTCAATGGTTGAGTGTAAGAGGAATGGAAATATGTCAAACTTGTAAGAGATGCAATCACAATTGTGAAACTGCCAACCACATTTCAATTTTTCGATTCTGTCTTCCGTCTGACGAATTATGGAGATGGTGGAAGATCCAATGGGATGACGTGGCTGGCCTTGAGTGGGCATGGACAGATGACTGGAGCCTTTCAGCCATCCCACCAAATGGCGCTCGGCTCAATGATAACTGGGCCTATGTGGTCTTGATCTGTCGTGGTACAGTGATGAAAGTAATTTGGAAGGCGAAAAACTCTGCGGTTTCCAGGAATCAAGAAATTCATTTTCATCAGCGGAGATCGTTGGTTAAACCGTCGCTCAGACTTGCTATTCTGTCAGATTGGAGGAAAGCTACCACGAGTCTTGGCAAAGGAATCCCTTGGTTCCGCAAGATTTGGACCAAGGACAACTTTTTGGCCTCTATAACAGATGATCACAAACTTGAGATAGCCAGGTGGCTTTGTTAAATGGCCAGGATTTGGTAGTGTGCAGTTTAAACCTAGTCTGCTACAGGTCTCAGGCTACGCTACAACCTTTTTTTGAGAGCTTCAAGTTTTTATCCCTTTTTTTTTTGGGAAGAATTATTTTTGTATGGGACGCTGGACCCGGTTTCCAGCAGAAGTTTACAGGAGAAGGATTCTTAGCTAGTTGGTTATAAGGAGCTTTTCTCTTAAGCTAAACTGGCTGAAGCTGCCAGGATAACTCCGGGTCGAACTTTTAGGTCCCCGGCCTCGTTCCTATACATTTGCAATATATTGTTAAGACTTTCCCAAAAAAAAAATAAAAAAAAAATAAAAAAAATTCAAGTCATTTGAAATACCAGGGCCATTACCTGGCTTCGGCTAAGAACAATCTGAGAACTCTTTTTTTAACAAAATCAATGCTATTTGAGGTAAATTTGGGAGACTATCCACCAGCAAAAATTCCTAGCAATTGTCTTCAAACACTCTAAAGCGCCAGACGGTTCTAACACACTCTCGAAGTCCTCAGACACTGTCTTATTCCCTACCAAAATCTACCAGGCCTCTCACCCCCACATAGGTTACAGGGCACAGCAACTCACCCCGACTCCGCCCAGCATCCTCTTCAATAGGAACCCTTGATTGTGCCGTGAAATGGCCCCCTAGGCATTCCCAGATCTCTCTACCAGGCCTCAAGCTCCTGCTGTCTACAAGTTAATGGGTCAACACCTCAGCACCGGCCAGCGTCGTTCTGGCATTGAACAACCGCAGGTCTATGAATAAAACAACATCTGGCACGAAAGCCAGATTACGCTCAGGAAGCACGAGAAGGTTGAGACAGCAGGGTGTCGGTAAGACGGACTTGGAAACGGCAGTGGACATAGGTCCAATCAATCAACCAATGGCTTCAAGTCGGTTCTCCTGATGACCGTTCTCAATGACCGCCCCTATTTATTACATTCGTTCTGCTACGCAACTCTCTGAAGGCATACTTGCACCACTCACCATACGCCAATGCACTCTTAAAAAAAACAGGGGAAAAAAAAAGCACTGTCCGACTTTCCCGATTGCCGCTGCATTCAGTTTAAGAAGTTTGTTGATGCCCATGGGACACAGGTACGGAAATGCCACTCTTAATTATTTATTGGGGAAATTTTTGAAATGCCCCGGAGTTTGCGTTTATTTGGGATTTGCCCCTCCGATGACCGACTTACCTTGATTTGCCCCTCTGACAGTGATTAAAGTTTCTAAAAAGCCCTTAGCGTCGTTTCAACTCGTTTGGGCCCGACACAGTTTCAATATGCCCCTATCGGCACCAGTGCTACATTTCCAGTTCGCCCCTACAGGATAGGCGTTCCGTATAGGCACAAGAATTTTCCATATGCCCCTACCGGTACCGTGCATCTTTTCAGTATGCCCTTCCGGCCGTTGCTGGCAGTAGCGGCCCCTGGCCCTCGGAGGGGTGCTACTGGGGCACCTTTTTTTTTTGTGTGTGTGTGCGTGTGTGTTGTCATATTCTCTATACACTCAAAAAAAACATGTTTGTGTGTGTGTGTGTGTGTGTGTGTGTGTGTGTGTGTGTGTGTGTGTGAGAGAGAGAGAGAGACAGAGAGAGACAGAGAGATAGAGAGAGAGCCCAGGTAACTGAGGTAAGTCTCCACCCTCGCGGCTGGCCTCATGGTACTTCCATAGATAGGATGAGCAAAATCGAATGAATCTACCGCTAGAACATGGTGATAGTGTAATGCTCAGTTATGCATGGTACTTCCATAGATAGGTACTTCCATATACATTGCCACGCGCGTGTGTGTGTGTGTGTGTGTGTGTGTGTGTGTTGGGGGGGGGAGGAGGGGGTTCTTTCTCGCTTGGTGATAGTGTAATGCTCAGTTATGCACGGAAGAGCTTTTCGATAGCAGCGAAGCATCAGCGGCTTCTCCCCTCGAGCCTGAAAAATGGCCTCGGAGAGTGAAAACGCACGAACGGCAGAGTACGTTCAGGAAGTGCGAGAAAGGCGAGACAACGGGGTGTCGGTAATACGGACCTGGAAACGGCAGTGGACATAGCTCCAAGCCTCCAATCAATTGAACGGCAGAGTACGTTCTGCTGATGAGCTTTCTCAATGACCGACCATATTTATCAGGGTGCAGGGTGCAGGGTTGGGGTTGGGGGAAGATGAAAAGGGAGGCACAGTTACGCGCCCCTATTTTTTTCTCTCTCAATAGTTTTTTTTTTTTTTTTCCCTTGTCTCAACAGATTCCAAACAGTTGGGGGAATATACCTTTCTCGGGCTTTTAGCTACGATCAAGTGTAGTATCTTTTCTGATCAGTTGAAAAAAAAAAAAAACAGAACCTCCAACTGGAGGATAAAAAGCAAGGGGGCCAACGGACAACCCTGCCTTAGCAAGTGGGTAAGGGGGAATTCATCTGAGAGGTACCCGTTGACTGTTACCATTGACTCAGAGGTAGCTTGGGCATACATAGGGTCTCGTTAGACACTCCTAAAAGAATCCTAAAATTTTTAGGACGAGTCCTAAAGGATTTTTAGGATTTCGTGCGGCGCCGTTACATGCAGTCCTAAAAATCGTCTTTTAGGATTCGTCCTAAAAGGTCTCCCGCGGCCCGTTCTCATATTCGTATACGCAGCCGCGTCGCCGATGTCCGCCAGGTCCTGGCTGGTGTCCGTGGTACACACTGCGGAGGCCTTGGGCGGGCGAGGAGGGGTGGGTGAAAAGCGCGGTCACCCCGAACTTCAAAAATTCAAATTCGAATTTTCGCGGACGCAAGGCGGCAGGGGCGGAGGACGGCCGGGCGACGCGTCTGACGTACAAAAGACGGCGCTGGCGAAGCGTTCGGCGCGGGTATCCATCTTCCGACTCCACGCGAGTTGTGAGCAGCGGGGGCAACTTCCGGCAAGGAGCATCGTCGCCACCATCGCTGTGTGCTGTCTTGTGGACTCCGACGCACGCCATCTTCTGTTGCAGCGTACGTCAATGGGCCCATCTACGGGTCCGGCGTGCGTGTCTCTCTTCACTTGGTTCAGCAGCGGGCGTGTCTTCGGTGTTTGTGGCAGGCGTCATGCTCTTCGGGGAGGAAGATTCCCAAAAATGGATCTTCGCGTCAACGGGCACGGTCTGCGCGAAGAGGAGATCGACGTGGTCGCGATGGCGGTTACTGCCATCGTCGTGAACACGATGGGCGGCATGTCGTCGTCCTCAAGAGACATGCTGACACAGCTCTGAAAACGAAGAGCGCTGTTGCAGCGCATTGCCGAAGTGCCGGATTGCATGGCCACGTGTGAGGCAGTCGTCCAGTTGTGCGCCGCGCTGTCATCTGGCGTTTTCCCACGGCGGACCCCGCGTTGGACGGACTGGCGGGACATGGGAGGATCTTCGCCTCTGTGATGACGCGACGGACGAGTATTACCGGCAGAAGTTGCGCATGTCGTTGGCCATGTTCAGGCAGATCGTTGTCGCGTGCGCCGCGTATGTGGAGAAGAAGGTGACGCACTACAGGATGCCTTTGCAAGTGGAGCAGGTAATCGCTTTCGCGTTGTACAGGTGGGCGTCGGGAGAGACGTACGAGAGCGACACTTCCTCCTTCGGCATCAGCAGGGCAACTGGACTGCAGGCCGTCCGCGACGTCACTTCGGCGCTGCTGCAGGCGTACCCCGACGCTATCAAGTGGCCAGTTGGCCGTAGACGTGCGCAGATTCTGCGCGCATTCCGTAACAAGGGTTTCCCGAACTGCTTCGGCGCGATCGACTGTACACACATCTACATTGACAAGCCCGCCGGCGCACCTTCCAACAACTACTACGACCGCAAACAGAAGTTCTCCGTGCAGGAGCAGGTGGTGGTGGATTTGGATCTGCGGATCCTCGACGTCCACATCGGATACCCGGGAAGCGTGCACGATGTCCGCGTCCTGCACAATTCCCAGCTGTGGAGGCGTGCAAAAGCTGGCGAGCTGTTCGACGCACCTCCGGAGAATCTGCCGCATGGTGTCGTCACGCGAGGTTACCTACTAGGCGACAACGGTTATCCAGTTGCCTGTCCATGGATCGTGCAGCCGTACGGAGGAATCGACCAACATCCTGACGAGGAGCGCTTCGACACGCGGCAGAAGGTGGCGCGGGGGTGTGTGGAGAGGGCATTTGGGTGACTGAAGTGCATGTGGCGTCTGTTTTTGCGCACCCACAAGACGAACCTGGAGACCTTGCCACAACAATTCGTGGCAGTGTGCACTCTCCACAACATCCTCCTCGACGCGGGGATCGACTTCGATGAGAACCTTTTGTGGGAGGTGGATGAGAACAACATTTGTCGTAGTGTAGACTTGGGGATTGTGGGGAACGGCGCGGGCGGGCAGCGACAGAGCACGAACGTGGACGGGGACTTGTTGCGGGATGCACTTCGAGACCGCCTAGCTCTGATGTAGGACCGTGCACATGGGAGGTGGGTGGGGGGGGGAGGGGGTTTGGGTAGGGGTTGATAGCATGTGGGTTGGTGCGATCGGCAGGCGGGAGGAATTGGCACGTGGCCGCGTCCATTGGCAACACTGCGCGAAGTAGCTGGGTCGATTGTATGGCGGCATGGTTGTCGTCTGTGACTTCCTTTCTTGTTTTCGTCGTTTGGACGGTTGGGTGGTTCGTACAGCTGTACGAACGTTTCATATTGGAAGAACCTTTTTTTTTTTGTATCTCTCTCGGTTTTGGTTTTCTTTTTTTTTTTACATGTTTTTATTTTATTTTATTTTTATACTTTTTTTTTTTCGGTGACTGTGTCTTCAAATTGCATGTCTCGAGTGTTTCGGTTTGGTGAGAAGTTTTCTTCTTTTTTTTCTTCTGCATCCTCAACTCCTTTTTCATTTGTTTTTGTGTGCCTCTTGAAATCTTCAGTCGCGCATGTTTTCGTTCGCTTCTCTGGCGGGACGACAGACAAACGTGTTTTGCAATTGTTGATGCAAGCTGCTTAACATTAGTAAACTGCGTAACACAAAAAACAGACATAGATGAACATGGATTGCGTGCATGCATAGGAGTTGATCATCTGCAATCATCTTGCAATTATTCGACAGAACTTGACAGAAGACACGAGAACAACGGATACATCACATAAAAAAAAAGTGCGCTGAAAGCGCTATGAACTTCTCGCGCAGCGAACTGCGAATATAAGTACACAATACACGACGACATTGAAAGATCTCGTCGTCGACTCCAATGACCGACACACTGCACACCTGTAACCCGACGCACCACAAACCATTCAAACCTATCAACCCGAATTCGTGGCAGAGGCGACGCGCTAAACAATTGTGCAACCGACGACGATCTTGCGGAATCCCTCTCTCCGACACACTAAACAGGTGCGCACTTTGCGTCGGTTCAACCCCATCCTCCCGCATGACGACCATCCACTACTACATGCGCGCGAGTCCACAGAAGCAGCCAAACCTCCGCTGCCATCCCATCCGTCTTCCTCCCCAGCCAACCATCAGCCCCAACCTCCCCCCCCCTTACGCGTCATCTTTCCCATCGTCGTTGTTGTCATCATCAGGGGGGCCCGAACCCAACCAATCTAGCTTATTTGCATCCTCCGGCCCCGTTATGCTCGCGTCGTGCCTGAAAGCAATGTCGCAGGGCACCCATTGAGGTATGTAGTTGGGGTACTGTCCGAACGTAGCGGTCGCCTTCCCTAGCCTGTCTGTGACGACTTTCGCGACGCGGACAACGGATCGTCGATGATCGAAGGAGTGATGCATGGCCGCGACGAGTGTGGGCTTCACCACGAGGTCCGCGAAGTAGAAAGCCTCGTAGTGGCTGTGCGGATCGTCTCCCGCCATGCGCATTATCCACATGCACGCCGCCAACAACAGCCTGAAGCAATCAGCCACCCGAGAAAGACGATCGTGCGAGATGAACTCGCCGTCGACGAGCGCCCCCATTTGCACGACCGCGCGGAATGCATATGAGACGCGGATGACGGTGGAGTCCTGGTGCGCCGCCATGTCGTCGTCCTCTGGTTTGTCCTCGATGTTGGCGCCGGCGAACCAAAGCGGTAGGTCCATGGACAGATCTATCGCGTGCGCACAAATCGCCGGACTGACAACCTAGCACCACTCCTCGCCGTACCACATGGCACGCGCAATGTTCGTCGCAAAGGATTCCAACGAGTACTCGAAAGCCACATGGTATCCCCTTGGCCGATTTCCGGACTTGAATACCCATCCGTGCAAGATGCGCAGAGCAACGTTCTCCACTGCCGCCGCACGGGAGATCGCTTGCTGCAGCTGCGATTGGTCGATGATCCTGGCCACGCGCGTGCTGGCTTTGGGCAGAATGACGCTCCGAGGGACGTCAGGCGCTGGAAGTCTGCTGGCGATGGCGACGAAGTAGTCTTTCGTTTCGTGGACGATGTTGTATAGTCTTCGCCCCTCCCCCGTTATCTAGAAAGCTTTGTCATCGACCTAAAGGACGGCACGATCAATGAGGTCTTTCGTCATGATACTCCTTCGTGGCCGGCTTGAACCGGCCTCGCCTACCTCCCGCTTGACTTTCCTCTTGCCACGCGCCTCCTCTCTCGCCGTCGCCACAGCTGCTGCGTCCTTCCTCCCAGTCGCTACGGCGCCCACATTGCCTGAAACAACCGCCCCCACGACACCTGCCACCTGGACGCCAACTGCACGCGCGTCTGCCACGACTTCCCCCCCGCCACCACGTTGGACGGCGTGGCGGGCAGCCTGCCCGAGACTGGCCTTTCGTTTGTAGCAACCCGCACGACCACCTCCGCGGTGGGGTCGTCGTCGTACGAATGCGAATGCGGCGTCTCTCCAAGGGCTCGTCATCATCGCCGCCAAGATCGACGACGGGAGCCTTCTCTGTCCGCGTTTCACGGCCACGCAGTAGCTGCGCCTCGTGTGGAGGGGTCTGCATCCTCTTCGAAGCGGTGCGATCAGAAGAGCACTGCCGATCGCTCTCGCGTACTTCAGACGTTGTCGCCTTCGCCTGCTCCTCCTCCGCCGTGAACTCATCCTCACAGGCCCCTTCCGCTTCCCCCGCCCAACCTTGCGCTCCACGACCACGCACCCTTGGCAACGCATCTCCCGTACGCACCCTCTTCGCTTTCGGGGCCTGCCGCCGCCCTCTTCCCTGCTCTTGGCTATCGTCGACGACCACGTTGCGCTTCTTCCCACGGGTGTTCCCTCGCGTAGACATGTTTCGTGGCGACCTTTGAAGGCGAGCTTGGCAGTGTGATCGGACGAGCGGGAAGTGTGGCCGACCTGGCGAAAAATATGTCTCCCGTGAAAAAGGTCTCCCGTGCGGCTGTGGCGTGACGACAACGATGTGCACGTGGCAGGCAGATGATCTGTCCTCTGCGGGAGGAAGACGTGACGACGATGGATATCCACGCGACGCAGTAGATCTCTCCTCCGCGGGACGAAGACGACGACGTGCACGTGGCACACATGAGATCTGTCCTCCGCAGGAAGAAGACGTGACGACGATGAACACCCCCGCGACGCAGGAGATCAGTCCTCCGCGGGAAGAAGACGACAACGTGCGCCTGGTTCACAGAAGGAGGCCACGGCGAGAGTAATTCGCGTTGAGAAGACTGGCGGCGAGAAGAATACAAGAGCCACGATCACAATGATCCGTGGCGACCAGGCTTGCAGCACCTCGTCGTTGTTGCGGGCGGTTTGCGGCAGGCGCGGCGGGCTGCTGTACTGGAGACACCTTCGCGGCGTGGACGACATACAAACGGGTTGGGATGCGCAGGAATTAAGTAGTCTTTCGGAGATGGACCTCCCGCGACGTCGCTTCTTTCTGGCGGGAGATGACATCGTCGACGGTGGCACGTGCGACCGCCCTGCCCACACTGCCGTGTGTTTTCC